TGGCTTCAGATTAGTTCAGCTACAGCCATTGCAGTTACTTGGGAGGTGAACAAGTGGATTTTCTGTCTCCGTAAAATCTCTCTTAAAAACCTTCTCTCTGTAAAACTTTCCAATAAAAATAAATCTCTAACAACAACAAAAACAATTATACATTAACCCTGAAAAACCAGCAAATGCATGGAAATCCACATTTAAAAAAAAAAAACCTCTTTTTTTAGATTTATTTATTTTTTTTTAAAGATTTATTTTTATTATTTTTTCATTGGAAAGGCGGATATACACAGAGGAGAGACAGAGAGGAAGATCTTCCGTCCGATGATTCACTCCCCAAGTGAGCGCAACGGGCCGATACTATGCCGATCCGAAGCCAGGAGCCTCTTCCGGGTCTCCCACGCGGGTGCAGGTTCCCAAAGCTTTGGGCCGTCCTCAACTGCTTTCCCAGGCCACAGGCAGGGAGCTGGAAGGGAAGCGGGGCTGCCGGGATTAGAACCGGCGCCCATATGGGATCCCGGGCGTGCAAGGCGAGGACCTTTAACCACTTGCGCCACCGCGCCGGGCCCTAGATTTATTTATTTTTATTAGAAAGGCAGATTTACAGTGAGAAAGACAGAAAGATTTTCCATTTTATGGTTCATTCCCCAGATGGGATCCCGGTGCATGCAAGGCAAGGGTTTAGCCACTGAGCAATTTGTGCAAGCTTTATTTAGAAAAAAAATTACTTGGGGCCCGGCAGCGTGGCCTAGCAGCTAAAGTCCTCGCCTTGAACGCGCCAGGATCCCATATGGGCGCCGGTTCTAATCCCAGCAGCTCCACTTCCCAACCAGCTTCCTGCTTGTGGCCTGGGAAAGCAGTCAAGGAAGGCCCAATGCTTTGGGACCCTGCACCCATGTAGGATACCCAGAGGAGGTCCCTGGTTCCCCAGCTTCAGATCGGCATAGCATTGGCCATTGTGCTCACTTGGGGGGTGAATCATCGGACGGAAGACCTTCTTCTCTGTCTCTCCTCCTCTCTGTATATCTGACTTTGCAATAAAAATAAAATAAATCTAAAAAAAAGAAAAAAAGTCACTTGAAACGTAGTTAGGGGAAGAAACTGAGAACGAAAAAAGTTGTTCTACAATCAATCTTCTCAAAATCCATGGCAAGGTACACATCTAGCCTAGCAGTTAAGATTCAAGCACCTCAGGCCCGGCGCGATGGCGCAGTGGTTAAGTCCTCGCCTAGCACGCCCGGGATCCCATATGGGTGCCGGTTCTAATCCCGGCAGCCCCGCTTCCCTTCCAGCTCCCTGCCTGTGGCCCGGGAAGGCAGTCGAGGACGGCCCAAGGCTTTGGGACCCTGCACCCGCGTGGGAGACCCGGAAGAGGCTCCTGGCTTCGGACCGGCATAGCATCGACCGTTGCGGCTCACTTGGGGAGTGAATCATCGGACGGAAGATCTTCCTCTCTGTCTCTCCTCTCTGTATATCCGCCTTTCCAATAAAAAATAATTAAAAAAAAAAAAAAAAAAAAGATTCAAGCACCTCATACTGAAGCACCTGAGATGAAGTCTCAGCTGTACTCCTACTCGAGCTTGCTGCTAATGTGCACCTTGGAAAGCAGCTGGTGAGTCAGGTAGTTGAGTACATGCCATCCATGTAACAGATCTGCATAGAGGTGAGCTCCTGCCATGGTCCAGGACCAGTCTTGGCCACCGTGGCCATTACAAGAGTTTGGGATTGCACTAATATATAAAGTGCTTTCTGTTTCTTTCAATAATAATATATTATTAGAACACATCACCAGAGCAGTAACAATGTTGACAACTGATGCTTACACATGATCCTTCTTAGGAACTAAATAAAGAACTCAACATGTGGAGACTCATTATATATTTCTTTCTACCTTTAAAACTCAATCCTCCTACTTAGAAAAGGGTTCTGATAAAATCCTTTGATGATCAGTATAATTGCAGTATAGAATCCCAGAGGATTATGAAGCCATTTAAAAAAAAATCATCAGGTCCAGTGGCGTGGCCTAGTGGTAAAGTCCTTGCCTTGAATGTGCCAGGATCCCATATGGGTGCCGGTTCTATCCCAGCAGCTCCACTTCCCCTCCAGCTCCCTGCTTGTGGCCTGGGAAAGCAGTCAAGGACGGCCCAAAGCCTTGGGACCCTGCACCTGCATGGGAGACCCAGAAGGGGTTCCTGGTTCCCCAGCTTCGAATCAGTGCAGCACCGGCTATTGCGGCCACTTGGGGAGTGAATCATCAGATGGAAGATCTTCCTCTCTGTCTCTCCTCCTCTCTGCATATCTGACTTTGTAATAAAAATTAAATAAATAAATTTTTAAAAAAAATCATAAAACACCTGAAATTATCCTCTCCTCAGTTAATAAAAAAAATCACATCAATTAAGCTCATCATTTAACAGACAAGATAGTGGTATGACAAAACTCCTGACACAAAAAAGTGAAATTTTAGTCTTAAAATCAGGTATGTTTATATTGTAAAAGGAAATATTTTTACTGCGGTTTGGCGAACAAAATAGTGCCATCCCAAAAATATCTCCATATCCTATTCCACAGGACCTGTGAACACATAGTGAAGAGGAACTAAGGTTAAGACCGAATTCTGATTATTAACCGACACATGTTGAGATTAGCCTGGATTATCTGGGCTCAATGTAATCATAAGGGTACTTAACACAAAAAGCCGGAAGCAGAGTCAGAGGGAGATACAACCTGCTTTTTAGGATACAGGAAGAGGACCATGAGGCCAAGGAATGCAAACAGCCTCTACATACTAGGAAAGGACTCTCTCCGAGAGCCTACACTAGACATTCTTGTCACACACTGACTATAGCTCATGTCAGATTTGCAATCTCAAAAAACATAAAATAAATATGTATAGTTTCATCCACCAAAGTTGTGTGGTTAAAGCGATAGCAGGAAACTAACGTATACGAGCAATTCTCCATCTAAAAGACTAAAGGAATAACTGAGACACACAGTATTTCCCAAGAATATTTTCAAGTTTTGATACTTATCCTTTAAAATTCTGTATGACATAAATGTTCAAACAGTAAAGTTTCTTAAACCAAACACTTTTAATAGTACCTGCAACTTCAAAATATGGGTTTCAGCAACCAAAATCCAAAAATTTAAAAAGCAGTTTACCTATTAGCATATTTCATATAACGGACTATGCTGTTTGTATTTAAAGTGCAGCAGCAAAGCCCTAAAAGGGGGGACATTGATGCCAAACCAATCCAAGTGTCATTTTAAGGTAGGAATAGAAGGAAGTTTGGAAATGATCTACAAATACAGGTTCTAGGCTAAAAAATCACACTATATGCAGTAACATTCATTTATCAAATATAGAATGTTGTACCAAGGAACACTGGTCAAAGATTCACAGAGTCAGGTCTCAAAATGCCTTCCCCCCCCCCTTTTTGGTGAATTCGCGATGAGTTTCAATCCATGAAACTAAGAAGGAAGCAAAAACACTTTTGTCACCTGAAAAAAACTCCTTCCTGTTCTTTGCAATAATCGCCATCGTGCCTAGGAACGTCTAAATACCAAGCCTCACACTTTCTCAGTTACAAACATATGCAAGTCACCTGTTTTATATATTTCCAATTAAGGGACCAACTCTTCAATATGATTAAGTTTCTAAACTATCACCAATGATAGCCTTTAAGCTGTTATTTCCTAATTTTCATGTATCTTCTAAAGCAAAACACCATAGAAGGAAAACAACATTTTATGGTTGTTTTGAAATTATTTTAAAATGCTAAACCATCATCCAATTAGTTTCCACAGAAGTCAACAGAATTTAATCTACAGTAGAAAGAGAAATGTATTCGGCAAAAGCAACCGTTACTGAATTAACACAATTCCTAGAATCATTGAGCATGTTTAATGAATATTTTTCTTTTGAATAATACCAAAATTATTCAAAATCACTTGTATTTTGCTTATTTCCTATTAGAAATACCTACTAGCAAAACAAGGTGATTTTGAAATATCAACGTTGAAACACGCCACATGAAACCATGTCCAACTTCAGTGACAAAAACGGACTTAAAAAAAACACTCAAAAGTTCCTGAGAAAAAAATGAAAATAGGTCGATTTATGCAGATTTTACAGTGATTTTCAAGCTGTAAGCCTGCATATATACAAGAGGGAAATACCCAAACGTGAAATTTTTCAATGAAAAAGTCAATGTTCCAAAACACTTTTCATGGATTAGATAATTTAAGTCAACCTTGGGAAGTTAAATGCCGAGTCCCAACCCTGCCCCTTACCTTCAGCCTGTCCTCCAGGGATGACTTGCTTGGAACCCAACGTGTCCCTCGCAAAGCCACACACATACCTACACTACCGAGGCACACATTTCCTAATCAGACACAAGGTAAAGAGCACGCTAAGGTTCAGTGGGGACATGTAACATTTTCATTGACAACATCTGTGGTCCTATTTAATTAAAAGTCGTATAAACAACCAAGAACATGTTCACTGCATCGCCAGTTTCTAATAAGGCTGGAAGAAAAAGATGAATTTCTATTACGTCGCATACCAAAATTTTTCGCTCTCATCATTTCAGGTTAGGAAGCCAAGCCTCACCCAGTACAGGGTGAATCAGGACCCGTCACTGCCACGGCAGTACCTCTACATCTCTGGAAAGCCAGAGGTCTGTCATTGTTTTTCCTCCCTTTTCCTTCGGCGACCCTAGGGTCCCGGGGGGCTCCAGGGCGCTCGGCCCCGGCCCCCGCCTTCCACGGAGCTCTCCCAGCCAGGCCGGGGCGGCCGGGGCGGCCGGGGCCGGGCGCTCTCCGAGGCCGCCCGGGGTCGCGGGGAGGCCGGCTCCGAGGCCGAGTCTGCCCGGGAAGCACTCGCCGAGGGGCGGACACCCGGGCGGGAGCTGCGGGCTCCACGGAGGGGCGTGACCGCCAGCGGCGCGGGTGGAACCAGGTGCCGCCGGGAAGCCCCCGGGAGCGCGGGTGGCGGCGGGCTCGCTTACCGCCAGGTCCGGATCGCGACTGTCCCGGTGTGACACGGCTCGGATGACCCCCGCTCGCCAGCTCCGCCAGCAGCGTCCGCTCTCCCCGCGCTCCGGACGCGCCTCGTCGCCGGCCGCCACACACAGGAACCGCTTCCCCACCAGCTCCGGCCGCGTCTCCACCGCCATGGCCCGAGCTGCCACAGCGTTGGCCGTGTTCTCCAGAGAACTGCGAACGCCGGCTCTTACCGGCCGCCCATGCTGAGAGCGGACCGGGAGACCGCGGCGGTCCCGCGAGCGGGAGAACGCCGACTCGGGGCACACCGGACGCGCTGCCCTGGAGGACACAGCGACCTCGGACGCTTGGCGGCCCCAACAGCCACCAAGGTCCTCAGACTCACAGCGTGGGCTACAGCCACAAACACACCCAAACACACGAAAAACTGACAGAAACGCCGGCCCGGCCGCCGGAGGCCCTCAAGCCGCCGGGCGCCGCTGCCGCTCGAGCGCCGCGGCCAGTACTACTCCGCCTCCCGGGCCGGGCGCCGCGAGCGCGCCGCGCGTCTCCTTCCGCCGGCGGGGGGGCGGGGAGCCGCGGGGGTCGGCGGAACCACCGCAGACGGAAAGTAGTGCCCGGCGCGGCCGCCGGCCCCGGCGCGCGGAGCGAGGAGCGGCGAGGGGCGGGCCGGCCTCCTAGTCACCGCTCCCTACAGAGGTGACGGCGAGGCAAAAAACGCTGATGGCACCGGGCCACAAAATAAACTCAGGTTAAACGCCTCATCTCCCAAGGGATGTTTTCCAGAGCACAAGGCGCCTGCCTGCTGTCTGCCTGGAATGTAGCCCGAACTGGTCCGGCAATTGGTGGCAATGCGGAGCAGCGTCCACACGAGCTCGATGGGACAGGAACAGCAGTCCACAGAGTTAAATGAAAAAGGGGAAAAGGCTAACATCCTTTGTGCTTCCAATGATCGCTACACTAATTTGTTTGAGCTGGTCAGATTTAACATCCCGCCAGTGCTTTGTAAGAGAACCTGAAATGCTGCGCGGTGGGCTTTAGCTGGCGTCTTTAAATTTCACAAACTGCATCAATCTGTGCACCGTTAATATTACTCTGTAGCTCAAACACTCTGATCGGTTAATAAAAACAGAGAAAGACTCCAGAATGATTTAAAAAAAAAATGTATCGTGGAAAGAGGAAGACTCCAGTTGAAGAAAATAGTTTACTTTCCAACCAATCACAGCAAGGCATCATAACCCATGCAGACATCTCTAACTTGCACCTTCTTTGGCCATCCTTTAATCTTTCTAAGTCCAGCTACTTCCCTCTACATGTCAGTGTATACCTTACATAGAGTTTTTTAAGGTAGCTTTTAAAATCCTGTTTTTCCCCTTCAGTACCGCAAGTGATTAAATAAACATCAAAAAATATTTCAAGAGCAATAAATTGTAATTTTTTAAATTACTGAGAGATTTTCTTAAACCTCCACTCCATCATAAAAGGGTGGGGGTGTTTAGCATTTCAAAGAAATTTACACTAGAAATCTGAATATTTAAACATACTAAGGCTTTTTTATATTTTTTCCAGAACACCCAAGTTGGGCATTTCAAACAGAAAAATATATCCACTGCAAATAAGTGAGAAACCAAAATTAAAAGGAAGATGGATTTTAATCATCTTGGTCTACTTTTGTTAATCAAAAAACCAAACAGAACCATACATAACACATAAACCAAAAAATTTTATGCAAAAAAAATGCACATTGGCACATTCAAAAAATACTTCACCTTTACTTGGCCAATTGTATATCCAAGTCCACTCTTTCAATATACACTGTATAATACTTAACAAATTATCTTAGACACACAGAGTGAGATATCTAAAAATCTCGATTTAGATTAGGAAGTCAGTAAAAGAACTTGGTCAGACCAAACCAAGGGAAAGAAATCTCAGCAAATGAAAAGATGAGAGTAAACCGACCCACAGGGGAATAACAATTCCTCAGAGACCTGCTGTGTGACCTGGGGTACTACATACGTTAATACACAAAGCCTGATTCCTACTTATCAGTAATGATGACCTACAACTACACAGCAAAAACACACAAATGAGTCATTTAACAAGACGTGCAAATTTAACACTATTATCACATAAATGCCATCACTAAATTATAGAGCACAGGTAGTTGGAGCGCCTTCTATAGCACTGCCAGGTGTTTCCCACTTGCTAATAAACTCCTATCAATTGCCCCCTAAATGTTGTACATGTTGAATCCCATCTTTCAAGCCTTAAGGATGTAAAGCCAACAAGTCAAAATATTCCTTATACAAATTTTTTCAAATGGCCATTTAGCCTCATAATTTATGTATTTATTGCAAAGTCAGATATCCAGAGAGGAGGAGAGGCAGAGAGGAAGATCTTCTGTCCGATGATTCACTCCCCAAGTGAGCACAAAGGCTGATGCTATGCTGATCCGAAGCCAGGATCCAGGAACTTCTTCTGGGTCGCCCACGCATGGGTGTAGGGTCCCAAAAGCCCTGGGCAGTCCTTGACTGCTTTCCCAGGCCACAAGCAGGGAGCTGGAGGGGAAGTGGAGCTGCCGGGTGCCCATATGGGACCCTAGCGTGTTCAAGGCGAGGACTTTAGCCAATAGGCCATGCCGACGGGCCCTAGCCTCATAATATTCTTAACATCTCTAATTCTTAGAATCATATTCCAAAGTTTCTCCTATGAATCGTTGAAGCCAAAGCTAAGAGTTTTCAGAAATGTGGTGGATATTTTACTCCGGAGAAACTCATACTTTTTTTTTAAGATTTATTTTTATTACTTTTTTATTGGAAAGGAGGATATACAGAGAGGAGAGACAGAGAGGAAGATCTTCCGTCCGATGATGCACTCCCCAAGTGAGTGCAACGGCCGATGTTATGCCGGTCCGAAGCCAGGAGCCTCTTCTCCCACACGGGTGCAGGTTCCCAAAGCTTTGGGCTGTCCTCAACTGCTTTCCCGGGCCACAGGCAGGGAGCTGGAAGGGAAGCAGGGCTGCTGGGATAGAACCAGCGCCCATATGGGATCCCGGGCGTGCAAGGCGAGGACCTTAACCACTTGCACCACCGTGCCGGGCCCCATACATTTTTTAAAATGTAAAATAAAAAGCCCTTAAAGGTTTTCCTGTGTTTTGTTTGTTTGATTGTTTCTTTCTTTCTTCCTTTCTTTGCAGGTGCCTTTTACCTATGTTTTTGTTTCAAGTAGCATCCTTAGTATTTTTGTCAGCAAAGCATTACATAACATGGAATTCAAAGAATTTTAGGGGTTGGAGTGATGGCTCAACTGGCTGTTCTCCCGCCTGCAAACGCCAGCATCCCCTATGAGTGCTGGTTCATGTCCTGGCTGCTCCACTTCCCACCCTTTCCCCGAGGCCTGGGAAGGCAGTGGGGGACAGCCACAGCCTTGGGCCCCTAAACCCATGTGGGAGCCCCCAAAGGAGCCTTTGGCTTCACATCAGCTCCACGATGGCTGTTGCAGCCAAGTGGAAAGTCTCTCCTTCTCTCTGAAACTCTGCCTTTCCAATAAAAATAAATAAATGTATTTTTAAAGCTTATTAAAACTCAGCTTTGAAACCTCAGAATCTGTTTCTTCAGTGAGTGCATTTTTTTACTTCCCTAAGGGTATGCAGAAAATGCCTGTGTTAGTCAATGTAAAGAAAAAAGAAACTTAAAAGTGGTACTATTGTTCACTAAATAGAAAAAAAAGGCAGTGAGAGAGAAGCACTTAAAATGAGTACAGAGAGACCGGCCTCGTGGCCTAGCAGCTAAAGTCCTCTCGGGGATCCCATATGAACATCGGTTCTAACCCCAACAGCCCAGTTTCCCACCCAGCTCCTTGCTTGTGGCCTGGGAAAGCAGCAGAGGACAGCCCAAAGCCTTGGGACCCTGCACCCACATGGGAGACCTGGAAGAAATTCCTGGCTCCTGGCTTCAGATTGGCGCAGCACCAGCCATGGCAGTCACTTGTGGAGTGAATCACTGGATGGAAGATCTTCCTCTCTGTCTCTCCTCCTCTCTGTGTATCTGACTTTCCAATAAAAATTAAATAATTCTTTTTTAAAAATGTATTATACTCTCCTATTATCTCTTTATTTTTATTTTATCTCTTAAAAAAAATAAGTACAGCAAGTGAAAAATTAGCAATGGGAACTAGAGCTTCTCTTTCAATCCCTATCACGTAAATATTACCTATCCATCGAGCATGCCTACACACACTGACATCCAAATTTCATATATTGAAAATCTTAATCTATATGAAGATATGCTAAATATCATTTTCTGAACCTTAAATCCAGAGAAAAATATTTATTAAATACTATTTTTGTTAAATAAAAACTGATGTAGAACCATCATTGTGATACTATAGCAGGTAAAGCTATTAACTTGCAATGCTAGAACCCAATTCTGGGCACTATTTCAAGTCCCAACTGCTCCGCTTCTGATCTAGCTCTCTTTTAGACAAAGCTGTCTAAAATACAAAGAGATAATCCATGCTTCGTGTAAAAGATAGCCACCATTTATGGAACATTCAATCTTGCCAAACACTATGCTAAGTACTTTGTGCATTTAACCTCTTCAAGAATGGGGAAATAAGATGCATAGATACATAGTCAACTTGCCAAAAACTGCACACTAAAGGAACCGATTTCCAAAACCAAGCCATATGACACCAAAAGCCCCCATGCTCTTATCAATTATGCAAAAAATACATCACTTAACAGAAACATGAAGTTCAGCCACTAAGTATCTTTCTCCTTACTATCACAAGGGTTTTTAACTGACTTGCTCAATATGTACTCGGCGCTTGCAATATGTCTAACAGCTTGAAAGGATCTGGGAAATTGGGCATTTTTTCTTGAGAAACTCAGAGTCTATCTAGAAAGATAGACAATACACATATTTCGGCTTGTTTACTTATGAAAGTAGCTATGAAATGCCATACAAAATTAATTTAATGCATTTTAGAAAATATACTCTGGGTCTTTTATAAATTGGTGGCTTTTAGTAATTACTGTCAAAAGTTGAGGCTGGATTGAGTATATGAAATCTTAAGATTATGTATACATTTATGTTACCATCTTTATTATGAAACCTAAAATAATTTACATTTAAATTATTTCCCTAAGCATCTATTTAAAACTAATTCCTCAATAACATATATTATGACAAAGTAACTCAAAAGTGCATGCTAAAGGAAGCCATTTTTCATTCCCAAACCTAATCAAAAACCCCACATTATGGACTTTCAAGACATACATTGTTCTTCCGACATAACTTCATTAAATTCATGAAAAATGGAATTAAAAGGTACATTTATTCTGATGCAAAAAGGCTTTCAATCTTTTTCTTTTTCTAATATGCATCTTCCATGAACTTTCTGAAGTTGCCTCGAATGAATAGTTTTTAAAATTTCTGGCATAAAAATAAACTTACCTTACAATTCCATTTTTCCATGAACTTGAACATTCATCAATCACAGAATTTATTATGAATCTGTCTCATATCTGTATCATGTGATGAATATAATCTCTTCAGGGGTGAGAACAGTAACCAATACCTTGTTGGTAACTGAACTCCAAGCATGACGTTGGCCTTGCTAAGAATGTTACTGCATAAATTATCAAATGAATTATCAAATGAATCCAATAAAAATAAGTAAATCTCTAAGAAAAAAAAAAGAGGCTCAAAACTTGCAATTTTTTCTAACCCCAACATTCTCATGACTTCAGCCACTAGGCTTTTTCAAAAAAAAATTCTTTTTATTACAGTCAGATTTATAGAGACAAGGAGGGAGAGAAAAAGATTTTCCATTCACTAGTTCACTCCCCAAAAGTGGCCGCAATTGCCAGAGCTGAGCTGATCCAAAGCCAGGAACCAGGAGCTTCTTCCAGATCTCCCATACTGGTGCAGGGTCCCAAGGCTGTGGTCCATCCTCAACTGCATTCCCAGGAGCCCACAAGCAGGGAGCTGGAAGGGAAGTGAAGCAGGGAGAAAAGAACTGGTGCCTATATGTGATCCTGCCACATGCAAGGTTAGGACTTTAGCTAGTAGGTTACTGTGCTGGGCCTCCCAATCCTCCCAATATTCTCATGAATGATCCAACTACTAATTACCAGTGAAATATGTTGGATCAAACTTGCTTCAAGTTTGCATAATCACATTCCAATTAGTGAAACAAGTTTTCACTATTGCCTGTGTTAGTAGC